TGTGGAACTCACTTCCGGTTTCTTGATTTCCAGTCAAATTAGATCATCAAAAATTTCAATTCAATGTCAATTCTTACCTTCTGTCTTCTTAATTTGTTTTTATTTTTTATTTTTATTGTTCTCTCTCATTAATGGCGTTTTTCGTCTCATATTCTCTCACGTTCAGTAACTCCTTTTTTAATCTGGAATTATTATTGTATAATTCTCGATTGATGTGATTAATAATCAATGCTGCATCAAGTACATTGACAGGTGACTCGTAAGATACACGGTCAGTTAACAGTACAGCAGAAAAAATACATTAAACATCTCTATTTTTATTTACATTATTCGGAATATTGTCGTTATCTTTGTCGCCATATTTATTACAACGTTTCGGCCGTTGTACGCTCCGGCCTTCTTCAGGTGGTTGGAATGTCGAACTGAAAAGATGAGGACAATGGTCTGAATAATGTAAATAATGTACATAATACCTCATCTCAGAAATATAGACAGATATTTCGATTTTTGTTACTTTCTCGCCGCCATAATGAAATTCCCTGTGCCATTTCTATAAATAATTTTAAGGTAATTGTTCTGATAGATTTACCGCTATGGTATCTAGACTTTATCAATTTAAGCACGTCACTAGATTGCCTGTAAGGTTGAATAACTTTACAATTGAAACGGCTAGATTAAACCGTAAGTTCTATGCTAACAGTTTCTTCTCTCGTGCTTCTTGCTTGTGTAACTCTCTTGCGAGTTCTTCTATGTTAACTTTGATCTTGAAAAAAATATATGCAATGCCAGTCTTTATCTTCTTTTTTTTTAATTCATGTTCTTTCTCCTTAATAGTGTTTTTTTTTCTTATATTGTCTCACATTCAGTAACCCCTTGAGTCTTAGTGGCTTTATTGATTTGATTGGTGTGAAGTGACTTAAAAAATCGAGTTTTTTTCATTGAAATATTGACTTTCATCGCAATTAATTTTAATTGGGATTGCTCTATAAAAAATCTCGCCACTATGTGCTGTTTTTGCTCTGTAACACACTCAAAGGCAGAAATCGTTATGTTTCAATTACAGCGTTAGTTAAAATGGTAGAAATACATTGAAAACACATTCAAACTTTTCCAGTACCCTAATTATTTTATATTCAATGCGAAAAAAGTACCATAAATTATACCCTCCTCAAAAATGGCCCCACCTGAGAAACCCAATTAATCAAAAAATATATTATCCTTCCTAATAAACGCTGTAACGAAACTTCCCAGTGCATTTTCTGTTAATAATTTCTTGGTAGTTGTTCCGATAGACTTTCCGCTATAGTACCTTGACTTTATGAATCTAAGCACAATACTAGATTGCCGCCAGTCTCTAATCAATTTACAGTTGAAGCGACTAGATAAACCGTAAGTTTATATTAAAATTTTCTTCTATCATTCTTCATAATGAAAAAAAATTCTAAAATATCTTGAAACAATCCTTTTAATCGTTAAATTCTTTTTTTAATTTTGTTCTTTTATTTATCAATCCTTAAAGTTATTGTCATATTCTCTCACACTCAATAATAATTTTTTATTATGACTGTATTGCCTTGATTAGTGTGAAAATGATTTAAGAAAATTCTAGCACCTAAAGAAGTCCTTTAGAAACGAAATGCGTCTGTAAACTATTTCCAATTTGTCATTAGAATCTCCCCATACATACATATATATATATATATATATATATATATATATATATATATATATATTTGTGTGTGTTTATGTGTGTAAAATGTGTGTGTGTGTGTATTTAGGCAGCAATGTTTCTTTCATGCACATTCCATTGAATACGACAGACAAGGTGCTTTTATTTAGTTTTTTTATATAATTTTTCATGCGATCTAATATTTTTTTTCTTTTCAGATGATAAATTATATAAAAACTGTCCGAATGTTCTTTTTATCCGAGCGCTTTCGGCTATACATTTACCCATTTTCAAGGATTGAATATTTTAACTGTTAAGATGAATAGACTCACTCGACACCTTTCTCTCCATAGTTCAATTAGATGTCATTTAAATATTCATCATAACCTACCTGACACTATTCGTAACATACTTGTTGACAACACTAATATAATAGCATCATCTACAGGCAAAAAAAAGCTAAAAATAATGAAAGCCTTATTAATAAAAAATAAAAAAAAAACAACACTTGATAATATCAACTATGAACATGGACACAATATCTTGGCCGTGTTTTGAAAAATGAAAAGATTATATAAATACATACATGTAACAAACTATTTCTTATTTAGCAGTTAAAATATTTAATGAAAATGGCTAAATTTATAGCCGAAAGTTTTATTTTATTTTAATCTTAAATTAGCATTGTATAATTCTCGAATTTTATGATTAATAATCAATGCTGGATTAAGTGCATTGACAGGTGACTCGTAAAATACACGGCCAGTTAACAGCACAGCAGAAAAAATAAATTAAACATCTAGGCTTCAATCACTTTCTCACCGCCGTAATGAAGCTTACATCTACCTTTCCTATAAATACTTTCATGGTGATTGTTCTCATAGACAGTCCGCTATGGTATCGAGACTTTATGTATTTAAGAGCAGTACTAGAGTGGCAGCACGTTCAACCAGTTTAAAGCCACATCCACACACAGCAGCAATTGAAAGCAAGGAACATGAAATTGGCAAATGACCTACAACTGTTGCTAAATGGGGCAAGGAATCAGTTAATTTTATCGCCTCAAAAACGAAACTGCTATATTCAATCATTTGAGAGAATCCTTTTTCACTTTCTATCAGTATGGCTGATGCTAACCTCTACGAGATCAATTTATTACGCCATTTCGGACTAATTATTTTCTGCTGACATGAAGTGGAAATAGTATAGTGAATTAATTGTAGACAAGAAAGTTGGTTCACCATGCCGTACAAGACAATTTTTCTCGCCAAAAACTATGTTACGTATCTATAAGTCTACCATTCGTCCATGCTTTGAATATTGCTGCCGCATGTAGCCCGGTGCTTTTGAAAATCAGTGATAAAATGCAAAGAAGATTCATAAATATTATTGGTCCCGACCTGGCGTCTCATTTGTTTACATACGATCTAACCATCGTAATGTTGCCTCCCTGTGCATTTTCTATAAATAATTTCATGGTAATTCTTTGGATGTACTTTCCTCTCTGGTACGTAGATTTATGAATATAAGCGCAGTACTAGATTGGCGGTAAGGTCTCATCATTTAACAGTTGAAAATGGCTAGACACAACCGTAAGTTCTATGCTAACAGTTTCTTCTATCACACTTCTCACTTGTGGAACTCTCTTCCGGTTTATTGCTTTCCAGTCAAATTTGATCTTCAAAAATTTAAATGCCGCGTCAATCTTCCTTTTTTTTTTGTTCTTTTATGATTCTTTCTCCCTAATAAAGTTTTCTTTTTCTCATATTCTCTCACACTTGCTTGGAGGGAAATTAGTAAATAAAATTACGCTTAAGCACAATAAATCATAAGCTGGTGGTATTTTAGTATACGAATGTTCTATGGCCAGGCTTAAAAAAAAAGATGTATGATCTAGAAGTAACAACTCAATATTGGATTGAGAGACCTATAAAACACGGAGAGATAGAAAGAAATAAAAATGAAGAATGTAAATAGCCTAATAAATCATAATCTGTTGATAATTCATAATACGAATATTTCTATGAACAGGGTAAGAACGCCATTTTGAATATTACGATATTTCTATAGTCATTGTTCTGAAGAACTCTCCCCTTTGGTACCAAGATTTTATGAATTTAAACGCTGTACTAGATTGGTCTCATCACTTTATAATTGAAATGTCTAGATGTAACCGTAAATTCTTTGCTAACAGTTTCTTCACTCGCAATTCTCGTCTGAGGAAATCTGTTCGTGATTTCCAGTCAAGTTTGATCATCAAAAGTTTAAATACAGTCTCAATCATTATTTTGTTTTCGCTACTTTTATGATCTATCTCGTTAATGTCTTTTTTCTCATATTCTCTCACACAGTAACCCCAGTGCCTTAGCGGCTTTATTGCCTTCCTTGTGTTGAAAATATTAAAAAAAACATTACGCTTGTGCACAATATACAATAGGCTGATAATAATTCACAATATGAACTTTTTATGAACATCCTAAAAAAAGATGTGTGACATAATCCCGTTTGGAATGAGAGACCCTTAAATAGATAGAAAGAGATAAAAACTGCTAAACCAGTACTGCGCTTTTATTTATAAATCTACGTACCATAAAGGAAAGTAGACAAACAAAATTATGGTAATTTAAGCGCAGTCCTATATTGAAGCTAAAGGCCCCCTATTTTAATTACAGTTTGAATCGATAGATGTATATTGTAAGTTCTACAAGATAACGGTTTCTTCAATAAACTTCTCGCTTGTGAAAATTTCTTCAGGCTTCTTGCTTCCCCAGTCATACTTTGATCTTCAAAAATTTAAATTCAATGTCAATTTTATATTCACATATTCAAAATATCTGTTTTTTAAATTATCTCCCATAAATACAATTTTGCTTTTTCTTTTTTTTTTCTCTTACACAGTAACCCCTTGCGTTTCGTTCGTTTTATTGCCTGGCTTAGGGTGAAATGATTAAAAAAAAAAGCAAGTCACATTAATATGTCGGCGTTGCGTATAGACGTTGACGTTTTGTCATAAAGAAAATATGCGCAAAGGCCCACATGTACAAAAATGTCCATTTTGTCAAGAAAGTATTTACATAGATCAAAAAAAATGTTCATGGAAATTACATTTGATTGTGTCTTTTATTGTAAGGCAGAACTTGGGCAATCAGGCGTTAATGAACGACACCGTTGCTGAAAAGCAATCATGGCTGTCATGACTTAATTACAAAACGCCGAACAACAATTAAAAGGTAACTGGCCAATGGTTGGGCGTTTTCCCATTATTCGATCGCTGACGTGTTATGTATATGCATATAAACGGGCCTGGAAGGTGTTCTAAAAGACCAGATAGATTGATCACAAATCGTTTTCATATCTATCTATCTATCTATCTATCTATTTAATGTTTTCCCCATATATATATATATATATATATATAATATATATTAGGAAAACACAGATTCTCATGATTCTATCTATCTTATCTATCTATCTATCTATCTAAAAGAAATTTCTTGTATGTTAAATATATATATATATATATATATATATATATAGATTCTCAATATACATATCTATCTATCTATTCATCTATCTATTTATCTGTGTTTTCTCTCACTCTTTCTCTCTCTCTATATATATATATATATATATATAGGAAAACACTGATAGATAGATAGATAGATAGATGAAGATAAATAGACATAGAAAATGCATGAGAATGCATATATATGTGTTTCATATGCATATATATATATATATATATATATATATATATATATATGGCTGGAAACTAGAATGAAACTATATATATATATATAAATATATATATATATATATATATATATATGTGTGTGTGTTGTAGGCAAATTTATTTGATTAAGTTTGTGCTGCAAATCTCATATCTAGCGTAATTTTGCATTTATTTCTTACTTTTTCATAATTTGCATAAAGATTATTTATTTGTCCGTTCATTTATATATATAAACATATTCAGTTATAAATACATACATAACGACATTTGAACACATGGAAATGTATTGAATACACATACACATATGCATTCATTTACACACACAACAATTCTTATATACACATATATAAATTTAAATATACATATATGTATATATATTCACGTATATAGGAAATATATGTATATAATAACCCAGTCACTCGGTGACAATCAATACACCATGCTATGAATTATATGTGAATAACATTTTTTTTAATATATATATATATATATATATATATATATATATATATATATATATAATATATGTTTTATTTATATAAAATATATAACTGCACACACAGTGATGTGGGTAATAATCAAAAAATTGGCCTACATAAAATAACAGAGAAAAAATTTATGCTAAATTAAATATACATTTTTTGAGTTTTTAGTTAATTCGAAAATATATATATTTATTCAAATATATATATATTTATATATATATAAATATATATATATATATATATATATTATATATATATATATATATATATTATTTCGAAGAGAAAAAAATGAAAATGATTTTGACTTATATCATTTCCAATGCCTTTAATATTTTCAGTGTTTTTGTTTTATTTATTCTATTGAATCAGGAAATTTTTTTGCGGCCATTTATTCGGAAACTTGAGAAACTTTTTACTCGTTCTTTCGGCTTCCATTATGTTACAATTCCTAGAGTTGTCTATTAATTTTAGAACAATGCAATGAATTCCTTCATACGTCAATTCTTTCTTTCTTTCTTTCTTTCTTTCTTTCTCCTACCAGAGTGCAGAAAAGTTCTCAGTTTGACCAAGAAGACATTTAAAAAAAACATGACGTGATATTTGATATTTTGGTAAGATTTTTGCAAATCAGTTGTGACAAGTATTTTTTAGGCTCCCTTTATATGTAACTATATTTACTTGTAAGGGATTAATGAATGAATGGTAAAAAAAAATCCAACCATTTACAAATCGATGTATCGTATGACATCCAACATTTAGCAGTCGGATAGAAATACAAAATGCGAAACGAAAGATAAAACTGTAATATGAAACTTATGTTTATTTAATCATGAAAATCTCTCACTCTTTCTCGCTCACTCTCTATGTATCTCACAGTCTATTCATTTCCCTCAGTCTATCGATCTTAGTATGTTCATATCTATCTATCTATCTATCTATCTATCTATCTATCTATCTATCTATCTCAGTTAGTCCACATTTCTGTCTCTTAATATCAGTCTGTTCGTCTCACAATGTCCTCTCTCTCTCTCTATGTATCTATCTCAGTATATTTATTTCTCTTTATCTTATTCTGTTCTTATCTATCTATCTATCTATCTATTATTCTTATCTATCCATCTATCTATCTTTTTAGTATCTCTGGCAATAAACATCAGTCCGTTCATTTGGTTCAAAGTTTTCTCTCTTAAACTCTTTCAAAATCTCTCTCTCTCTCTTATCTATCTATCTTTCTATCTATCAGTCTATTCACCAATTTCTTGGGAACTACCCCATGCCCATTCTCTCTTTCGACCTATTTATCGATCGCAATCTTTTCACCATTCTCTCTCTCTCGTTCTGGTCATCTATCTATCTATCTATCTATCTATCTATCTATCTATCTATCTATCTATTACCCGTCAGTATTTATTATTAGCGAACATGAACTTAACATAAAATAAGCTGCTAATATTGTGTTGATTTCAGACTAAGAAGAAAATAGGATGGAAATAGTCGAGGTAGTAAAGGAAAGCAAGAATAAAAGACTATCGACAGAAAGAAAACAGATTATAATCCTACGAGCATCAGCTCATGTTACGTATTACGTAATGCGGCCATTAAACTCAAGCGTGGAAAAAAAATTAATAATCCTGTTAGTGTCGTAACAGACGGTGTCAAATGGGACACAGTAATCCGGAGGCGTATGCGAGCAAAGAAAGATGCATTCTAGAAACTAAGCAAAGTATTAAGAGATAGATAATTTTTTTTTAAGTATTTCACCCCTATCAAGGCGGGAAGCCACTAGGATACAAGGGATTGCAGAAGATTTGGAGCGATATCAGATAGGAGTGATAGAGGAAAGGCTGAGGAGAAGAATAGTGGATAGATCAAGGCAACTGGAAATGTCGATTGACATTACATTTAAATAGTTGGAGATTATAGCTCTCAGGGAAACAGTAATAGGGAAGGGTGCTCCACAGGAAGATAATGTGGACTCTAGGTATTAAACCATTGGAGTAGAAGAACTATCCTACAAATAACAGTTTACAGTCAAAGTGTGAGAGCAATATCTGCCAGCCTCGTAAATGGATTGAATACATAAGTACGGAAAAGCGAATGCAGCTCCTCAAGACGATATTTTGATAGTATTTGAAAAAGACAGAGAGAGGCGAAAATGCGTCTGTGGGAAAAAAAGTAGACGAGATGCCAGAACAGGGCCAATTATTTACATTCACAGGGATCTTGTCAAGAACTCCGAGGTAAAAGAGTAAAAAGAAATATATGCTGTTATTATAATCTCCCAGTTGACAGTGAATAATGGACACTTTAATATTTAATTAAAGACTTGAAACGAAATGGATGTGATTTACCAACGAATGCCCGATGATAACATGCTTAAAGAATATATATATATATATATATATATATATATATATATATTTCAACAAAGTTTTCGAGACTAACTGTGGTTTATACTTCCACTATGCTGACCAAACCTTCTTAGGAATTTCTGGGAAAGATTGCAGTTATCTAGCGTGATCAACAATTTTATGTTCTTGGTGAGATTCGAACCCGGTTCTCATGGTTTGAACGCGAATCCCTCTAAGTCGGCCAAAGCATCTAATGAGAAAATAATAACGAATTACATTGAGTGAAAGGAAGGGTCCTTGGAGCTGAAGGAGCATGGTAAAGACATTGCATTTAGATCTGAAAGCTATGGTTATTTACAGCTGACATTATATGGCACTTTGAGCTGGAATGACATCGAAAGGCGTGGCAGCGAACATTAGAGCGGGAACGGCTATTTTGGTTTGGTCTGGTTTGTTTTGTTTTACGGCATGTCAACCTCAATGGGTTATTTAATGCCAACAAGATTTTTACTGCTGTAATATTTTTTCAAAGATGTATTGCTTGATAATGATATATTGCTGGTAAAAATTTTTTCTCCAAAAATTTATTGATGGTAATAATTTTTTTACAAATTATTTCTGGTATTAAAAATTATTTTTAAACTTTCATAGTGCTTTGACCCCAGTTTGGTTTTTAGCAATTTGCCCATAACTGGGACCTTAGCAGGGGCTAATACTCCGGGTGAGTGTGGACCTGGGATCACCAGCAATTAAGAGGTGTTTCCATGCTCCTCAAAACCTCTTGAACAGAGGCCTTGCTGGATGTAGTTTATGGTCGAAACCAGGACGCGGATGTGGTTTATCGTCTTACCCAGGACACGGATGTGGTTTATCATCTTACCCAGGACGCGGATGAAGTTTATCGTCTTACCCAGGACGCGGATGTAGTTTATCGTCTTGCCCAGGACGCGGATGTAGTTTATCCTTTTACCCATGTTGCGGATGTAAAATAACGTTTTACCCAGGCCTCGGATAATAGTTTATCTTCTAACCAATGACGTGGATGTAGTTTATTGTCTTAAAATTCTTCATGTATTTATCGTCTTGCTACAGAAAATGTTTGATGAAGTTTATTAAATTTAAATTGAACCAATTCGCATATACGTTTATCGTCTTGTTGAGGACGCGGATGTATTTATCGTCTTACCCAGGATGCGGATGACATTTATCCTTTACCCATGTTGCGGATGTAGTTTATTGTCTTGCCCAGGACGCGGATGTAGTTTATCCTCTTACCCAGGACATGGATGTAGTTTATTGTCTTACCCAGGACGCGGGTGTAGTTTATCGTCATATCCAGGACGGGGCAACGGCTGGATATTTACAGCTGACAAGATATGGTACTTAGAGCTGAAAATACAAATATATAGCTAATGAAATACGTGGTTTAGGCATGAAAAAACTGGTCCTTTACAACTGAAAGTCCCCGCTACATAGAGCTGACAAGACATGGCACTTTAAGCTGGAGTGTGTTGAAATGCTACGGTGCTTAGAACTGGAAAAAGACCCAAAAAACATTGCAGATAAAAGAAAAGAAAGCTTAAGAGAAAAGGTTAAATACAGGATCCACAGAAAAAAGCGTTAAATTCAGATAGAAATTTATTTAGCTACCAAGATACATAATGAAACTAAACAATCATTGTAAATATTCGAAATGTTTGTGTGAAAGTTCAACACTAAGTTGTAAGTATGGTAAGCAGGAAGGAGGGGCTTTGCAGATAGTGTCAAGAGGAATAGACACCTTTAGGTGGTGTAATGGTTAGTAAGCTTGTCTCGCTAGAACAGTTACGACTGAGTAGTGAGTTCGATCCTCACTCGGTGCCCCATATTTTCGGCCTTGTGCTACATCTGACCTACTCTTGGAAAATCACTAGTTTCAAGAGGACTTTAATTCCAAGCTTCAGTTAAGTTCCATTTCAATAAATCAATATCGACGATGTCACGATGACGGTTTTGCAAGTGAGTTAGGAATATACTCCGGATACAGTCATCCATAACATTCAGACCTGGGCTTTTAGAGGAACACTAAAATGGATCAAATAGAACTGGTGTATTTTCTCGAAGAATAAATTTGCCGCTTTTTAACCCTGTTAGGATGAGCCCGAAATGCGATTTGCAGGTCGGGAACACTAGAATCAAGGAGACGCGGAAGTTTAAATATCTGGGAAGCGTTTTTGACAGGGGACGGTAAGTGTGACACTGAGATCCGTAGACGTATTGAGATGGCCAAGGACGCATTCCAAAAGCTGGGTAGAGTATGGCGAGACGGGAGGATTTCTTTGAAAAGAATACTGAGCTGTTACGTGACATCTGTTCTTCTTTACGGCAGCAAATGTTGGATGATTTCTTCAAAGATGAAGAAGAGACTCGAGGCGACGGAGATATGGTTCTACTGAAGGATGCTGAGGATATCATGGCCTGAATGTTCAACACAAAGTTGTAAGCGTGGTAACAGGGAGACAGTAGCTTTGAGGATAGTGTCAAAAGGAAGTTCATTCCAAGCTTCAGTTAAGTTCCACTTCAATGAATCAATATCGACGATGTCACGACGACAGTTTTGCAAGTGAGTTAGGAATATACTCCAGATACCGTAAGCCATAACATTCAGATCTGGGATTTTAGATAGCCACTAAGATGGACAAATTAGATCTGGTACATTTTATCCAAGAATAAAATTGCCGCTTCTTTTTACTGGGCACCCTGTAAAAGAATAGACAAATATTAAACCTGTGATTACGTCATATGCAAATACCTGAAGACCTTAAAATTTACTCTAAATTATAATATTTTTGAAGCAATACACGAAGCGCCGTTTCCATGACCATATTTAGAAACAACCCAAAATTCTTCACCAGACTAGAATGTGATTAAAACACGGATAGCTTTTTCGTAATTCATCTTTAGGTGACACATAAGATAATTCCAATCCTGTCTGCACTTAGTGTAAGTCAGTGAAAAATGTCTATTTAGCAAAGTCTGTGAATGAGTTGCTTTGATATGTTTCCATTTTTTTTTGTTTTTGGTAAACTTCTTGATCACACATGGTTGCGTTTTCCATTAATATACACATATACATAGAACCGCACACGCATACATACGTGCATATATACATGCCTGTATAAATGAATTCATACTATTACATACACAGACATGTGTTTATCGTTATGGAATTTTTCGAAATTATGAAATAAAATGTTATAGAGACATTTACTTTTACGTGTCAATAATTACATATCTATCTATCTATCTATCTATCTATCTATCTATCTATCTATCTCTATCTGTGGGAAGTACATTCATATCTATCTAAAGATTTGAATATCTATCTATCTATCTATCTATCTCAGTATTTTTACCATTACAATCGTTCATCTATCTATCTATCTATCTATCTATCTATTCATCTATCTATATATATATATATATATATATATATATATATACCTGTTTATACACCCCATATCTATCTATCTCAGTATTTGCATATCTATCTATCTATCTATCTATCTCAGTATTTTCATATCTATCTATCTATCTATCTATCTATCTATCTATCTATCTATCTATCTATATCTATGAAAAATTCATATCTATCTATCTATCTATCTATTCATTGGTCTATCTATCTATCTATCTCAGTCTGGGGCATCAATCCACATTCTCTCTATCTATCTTTCTATCTATATTATTCTATCCTTCTTTCTCTTTAAAGGTCTCAGTAAGTTTCATCTATCTATCTATCTATCTATCTATCTATCTATCTATCTATCTATCTATCTATCTATGTCAGATGTTCATATCTATCTATCTATCTTGCATCATCTATTCATCTATCTATCTATTCATCTATCTATCTATCTATCTATCTATCTATAAAATCTCATATCTATCCCTAATTTGCTATCTATTCTATCTATATCTTTCTATCTATCTATCTATCTATCTATCTCTATCTTATCTGGAACTATCATTCATATCTATCTATCTATCTATCTATCTATCTATCTATCTACCTATCTATCTCAGTTGAATGTTCATCAATCGGCCTTCTATCTATCTATCTATCTATATTATTCTGTTTATCCTTCTCTCTTTACTTGTGTCTCACTTTTTCTATCTATCTATCTATCTATCTTATTATGTTCTCTATCATGCATTAAACATAACAGAGAATATTTCTTCATGAAATCATTCTTTGTATCTATTTTTGTCATCTATTAATTATTTAAATAGCTATCTATCTTTTTCTCAAATTTCAAAATATCAGATATGTTATATTATCATATCTATCTAAATATCTATTCCAAACTCAAATATATATTTTCACTAAAGTTCGTTGAATCTCTTGATAATTCTATCCATAATAATATAAATTAATTTCTCCAAGACGTCATTCTTTATAAATTTTAATCTCATATCATGAGCTTTTACTCTATAAGGTTCTCATATCTTAGGGAATATATCACCCATAAGAATGAAGCATTTTTATGATGAACGTACGATTCCTCAGACATATGCCCGTTCTTGTTATTTTAAATGCATTCATCAAACCTTTCATAGAAATATCTATCTTCTACTCTGAACGAAATAAATGGTTCAGTTCGACATTCCAACCAATTGAAAATATCTGGTTCAATATGCATTTTTTTGCTTTTTAATAAATATTTCGACAAAGATGAGGAACATTTCTCGAATAATTCAATGGTTATCAATTTTTTTATATAAAAAAATTAGGTTCAATGATATAGCCTGGGGATAACTATTTAATTTAATAAAAAAAAGATCTATGAATTATTTTACAATTTTCTTTCATTTTTAAAATTTAAAGTCTTATTCTAAATCAGTTCAATTATTTCCGGAAATGCCATAAGTTTTCAAGACCGATATTAAAAAAAAATTTCCAAATGTCCAAAGATGACAGTGTTTAAAAAAAATTTCACATTTAAAGCATTTTTTCAATAATGCCAAGTTTTCATCAGTTTTTTTATAATTTATTTAATCCATATTGCTTCATTTCAAATTTTGCATTTTATTTTTTGAATCAAGTTTTCTTTTTAAAACATATCTTTTTGGAAAAATGTTGAAATCCAACTACGTAAATTATTTTTTCTTGAAAGCTAATGTCTGATTCAAAGTAGTTTTTCTTCACCAGATAATATAATGTTATTCTGCGATTTTTTATCGTTAAATCATACTGAATGAATCATTGATAAAATTAGGTTGAAGGATATATTCCTTTAAGGACATTCTTTTAATATAAAAAAAAGTTCTAGAAGAGTGGCCATTAAAGACAACTTCATTTCTAAAATTTCTAAACATAAATCAGTTCAAAAATTTCATTCAATCTAATGCTATAACTTTTCAACTTGGGGAAATAGTGTGTTGATATAATCTTACATCAGTTAAACGTCTTCTTTTTAGAAAAAACAATAATACAAACTTCATCTATCTATCTATCTATCATCTATATATCTATCTATATTTTTGTCTATTATCTATGTGTCTGTCTAATCTATCTATCTATATCTGTATAGTATATATTACATAATCTTCAAACTCTATTCATTCATTTTATATATCTATTAATTAATCTATCTATCCCATTTTATGTTCAAATCTATCTATCAATCTATCTATCTATCTATGTGTTATGTACATTTTTCTATCTACCTAGTATTTGCATATAAATCTATCTATCTATCTTTTTTATCTATCTCTGTGGAACATTATATCTATCTATCTCAGCCTGTTCATATCCCTGAAATCTATCTATCTATCCATCTATCTATCTATCTATCTATCTTCTAAAGCCTGTTAATATCTATTGTTTCTATCGATCTATCTATCTATCTATGTGTTAGTAATTTTATTATTTACCTCATCTTTTGCTTTTCTATCTATCTATCTATCTATCTATCTATCTATCAGTCTATTCATCTATCTTTCTATATCTGATGGCAGTACATTTCACATCTATCTATCTATATATCTGTTCTATCCCTCTATCTATCTATCTATAAATCTATCTATGTCACATTGTTCATAATATCTATCTGTATATCTAGGGTTTCTTCATCATTTTATTTTTTTTATCTATATTTATTATTTTGTCAAACTAAAACTTATCAAAAATCAAACTGCTAATTTTCTGTTGATTTGAGGCTGAGATTTCAAACGGATGGAACCTATAGATAATCATATAAAGTTATTACAATAAAATACTAACTTCAATCATAAGAAAACAAATGAAATCCTTAGCATCAGAATCAGCCTCATTATTTATACGTATTGCAGCCGTTAAACTTAAGCGTTTCTGTTGAAAAAAAATCCTTTAATGTCAAACAGATTTGGAAAAATGGGACACAGTAATCCAACTTGCCCAATTGATAAGATGTATTTGTTGAAAGTGTTAAGAGATTTTAAGTAAAAGAAAAAGATGCTGAAATTATAATCTGCTTGCTGAGAATGAATGATCGGAAATTTTTAATATAATGAAGAGACTTGAATCGAAAGAGTTGTGCTTCTACCAATGAATGAATATAAAATGGCATGAGAATGTATCCGGTCAAATATTACATTGATTGGAAGGAAAAGGTCCTTGAGAGAAGATGGAATATATAGTAGATCATTGTATTTAAAATAAAAGTGGTCTGTCCATTTTTTTTTGATGATTATATGACACTATGGCTGGAAATTGCACAACAAAAGACGTGACATTTAGAGCTGTACTAGCAGCGGAAATTAGAAGGAAACATCATATCCAGCTGATCTAAGATTTGTAATTAACTGAAAAATACATTGTATATAAAGTCTCTTTTTTTTTATAATTTAAGCATAGATAGTTGAGAATTGATGTCATCAGAAAGGTCATTGATAAAAATTATTTTAAGCACAATTTTTGGGGGATTACTGCATCAATATATTTATATATATATATTTATTTTTATATATATATATATATATATATATATATATATATAACAGATTTATTGAAATCCATTTAAGACAACATTCATTTCAACGATTAGATATGAACGATTAAATCAATTCAAAAATCAGTTTCAAACCGTAAATTTAAAACCTTTTCAATGCAAGGAAGAGTTTTTTTTTAAACTCTGTTTATTTCCAGCTGCCCAAAAAACAATATCAATAGTACGATTGTTTTATCAATCATGTAAAAAATTGAACCAGATTTTATAATTGCTTTATCATCAACTGTCGTGCCCCAAGAGTAAGTTGAAATATATATATATTGTTTGTTAAATAAAAAAAAAATAATTATATATTTTTTTTTTTCCCATCCAGTTTTAAAAATAAAAACATATCTTTGTAGAAACATTTTCTTTCAAACAATTAAAAGATACATTTGTTCTGATTCCAAAAAAAATAACTTTCATATGATCAATTGTAAAGACAGACCAGTTGGGAAACACTTAACCTAATGAGCGAATCAATTAAATTTAAACCAGCGCAAATGCATACTGGAACAAAGTTGAGTTAACTTAGGGAAAGATTCCAATTTTGCAGACTAGATTAGAATTATTCTATCCTGTTAATCAAATTTGAAGATACTAGCCAAGTCATACAGTTCAATTTAGATTTTAGTCGATTATGTCTCAACACATTCCCGCTGACCACAAACACGTTGCGGTCATAAATGAATTTCAACATGCTAATAAGATATACCCACTTTTAATTTATTTATTCTATATATATATTGTTGACATATATGTTGATATATATATGAAACATAATTTTCAGTATCATATATATATATATATATATATATATATATATATATATATATATATATAACATAGAGGCCAACAAACCTATGTTTCACCTAAACGGATCGTCAGGGGAAAGTTTCCAGCTTTCCCTGACGATCCGCTTAGGTGAAACCTAAGGTTGTCTGGCTCACTAGGTTTATCTAGGTCTGCTCTACGGTTGTATTGAGCTCTTTTTGTTAGTTAGTTGTTTACTCGTATCGGGTTTTTTTTCTTTGGGCTTTAAACCTGTATCTGTGCGATTTTTTTTTGACAGACTTTCATGTTTTTAGCTCTCTTTTTTTTTAAAACCTTTTTTTCCCTCGAGATTGATTTGATTATTGGCAAATCAAAAATTCGAGGGTTTTTCGAAACGAGTATAGTTATCCTATATTTATATATATATATATATATATATATATATATATATATATATATATATATATAAATATATGATATATATATATATATATATATATATATATTTATATATATATATATATATATTTATATATATATATATATATAAATAAATATATTCATATATAAACTTTGTATATATATATATATATATTATATATATATTTCTATATTGATACATAAATATAATTATTCAATTGAGTTTATATATACTCGATCAATATAGATATATTTGTTAAAATATATATATGGTATATAATGAATAATATTAATATATATATATATATGAACATGAATTTAATAATTGAATTTGAGTTTGTTTATAAAATATTTTAAACAAATGAGAAACTATTTATAGCTCATATATTATTTAATTTTCTTGTGATCGCGTATCCATATATTTTTAATATATATATATATATATGCTATAATTTATCATTAAATATGATTGCATTATCTTTTCACGTTTATTTCAGTATTTATTGAATTAAGTTCTATCAATCTTTCAGGGACATAAATCGGACAAAAAAGTTATATATATCCTTTATTAATTTTTAAGCTAGAAGAAGAAAAAGCTTAGCAAGAATTGGATATTTATCCGTTAAAAAAAGGTGAAGGACGAGAAGATGAAAAAAATGATGGATGATGTTGAGTCAACAAACTAAGGTTATTTTTTCAAAAAAAAATAAAAATTATTCCCAAAATATATGTATATATATATAAGAACCTACAGATAGAATAAATATATAAACTTAAAATCAAGAATAATAATAATAATAATTTAATTACAAGAAGAAGATTTTATTTCTAAGATATATAAGAAGAAGAAGAAGAAAAGAAACAAATTTGGAGAAACAAAAAATACATTTCTACGAAAATATTTAGATTTTAGAAGAAGAATACCTTAAATAAATATATTTATTAAGAAGAATTAGAATGAAGAAACCCAAGAAGAAGCAGAAAAGAATAAAAATTATTCAGAATAGTCAATGAATGGATTAGAAAAATTTTCTTGTTATTAATAATAAAAAAAATGGATGATAGATATTCAAAACATCAAAAATTTATAAACAAAAAATTTTCTATTTGTTACGATTTCTTGAAAAAGAAGCCGACATTCAGAGAAGAAAAATAAATTTTGTTTAATAAAATGTTTATAACAAAAGAAGAAAATTTTTAATTTCATAAATCTTAAGAAAGTAGACTTCAAAATTTGAACAGAGGCAAATAATAATAAATATATATAGTATATAACAAATTTACTATTTGAAAATAGGTATATAGAAGAAAAAAATATATATAAGAAAAAATATGGCCATATGATTAAAAGGAAATTAGATTTTGAAGAAAAAAGAAAGAATTCATGACAATGTCAAATTGTCAAGACAATGGAAGAAACACGTTGTTCAAAAATTTTAAGACAACGAAGAAATATAGATACTATAGAAAGGGGTCTATTTTCTAAAGGAATTTTTATTGAAAAAAGAAAGAAAGATGAGGATTTGATATGACAAGAAGAAGAAAATTATGATGATGATGATTTTTAAACATAAGGATAAAAAATATTTTTTTTTTATTTTAAAAAAAAAAAAAAATTTTTTTATCGAGCGTCATGAAAAATTGAAATAATGAATGTAAAAACTTTTTATTTTTCCAAATATTCAAAAAATTTCCAAATCAGATAAATGTTTCTTTTATTAAAAAAAAAAAAAAAACCAATAAAAATGCAGCAGTATATATTTTTTGAAATTCTTTTTCCAGAAGTCGAACTGGTGGATAGAAAATTATTCTGTCCAAAGGTTTTTTTGCCTTCTTTTTAAGAAAACGTTCGAACTGTCTGCTCTTATATGACCCAAGTTTTTTCAAAATTACGTCAATGAACGCTCAAGTCCTCTTGTGTCAACTTCCGTTGTTAAAAGATAGTTTCTAAATTGTATTCCATTTTCTGAGCAGACTTTCTCAGCGGTCGCTTTATTCCTTATATTCTTTTTCAAAAAAAATTTGCTACATCCGTTGACGTCCTTTCCTGTTTTAAAATGAAATTTATCAAAGAGTGTTTTTAAAAAAAAACTCTTGAAGGAATTTTAAATCTTTCTCTTATATAACAACGGAATTTATACACAAATATTGTGCATTTTAAATAAAAAAAATGAACACAAAACAAGCAAATAAAAAAAAAAAAATTTTAATATTTCCGACCAGCAAACCGATTATATTTTCGGTTCCATTGGAATTTTTTTTATAATGGAAAATTTTTATTACCAACATTTTCAGTAAAGTTATGATTTATAAAGTATTTGGAAGGAAAAAATATAAAAACATCTCAAAGATTTGACTTTTAAGTCACTGGGCCAAGAAAATTACATTGAAAGTGGAAATTAATAATTTCATAAGAACCAGTGAAACTAGACGCAAAGAAAATGTTTTTCTGTAAACCGAATAAATTTCAAAAACTTTTCCAGTTGAATTTAAAGGTAAATAACTATATATCCAGAAATAAATGGCATAAATACTAGAACAATGATCAATTGGAGAAAAATAAATTTTTATTTAATGTTAATCACCAAAGAAGGCCGGAGCATTTCACATTTTGAACGTTTAAAAATCAGGATTTTCCATAATTAAATAAATGAATTGGTATTTTAGAGTAAAATATAGATTAAAATTATTATTATTATATATTATTATTATTAAAATTCAATTCTTTTATTTTTTAATTGAATACAAATCATTATCGGTTCATTACAAGAGAAAAGCAAGACATATCAATTGTTTTTATAATCTCCTTATATTTGAAAAATTCTAGTCCAAAAGAAAATAATGATAAATATATATATATATATATATATATATATATATA